TTTTTTTTTTTTTTTTTCTTTTGTAAATTTAAATTGCATTTCTAAAGATTTCTTTTGCTTCTCATTCTCCAAAATTTGATGATGGATTTGTTTCAAACCACAGCTCGATCAGATCTAGATATTGAAATAAATGTGTAATTTTTTTTTTAATCAAAAAATAAATGTGTAATTGAATATAATCATTAGCTCACTTTGAATATTCATTTTTTGTTGTTGTAGAATTTTCACCAAATTTGTCGTTTTAATATTGTTCAATGTTTTATCAACATGGATTAAATTTGTTCAGAATATTAATTTTTGGGTTTTGTTTTTCTTAGTAGACAATAAAAGGTAATTGTTATTGTCATTATTTTTCTGTAATTTTCAAGGAAATTGAGGTGAATGTTAAGTTAATTGAGATCTATACATGATTTTAGTTTGCACTTGCTAGTTTTAGCTGATTGAACTGTCTTTGAAGGAACTTTGGACCTACTTGAGAAATAGAATGAATAAGATCACATGTAAATTCTTAGAGCATTGCCTGGAATAAGTTTGAGGGGTTAGACCATGCAGGTTTCATGCCAAGGAGATTGTCTAAAATCTTTCTGGTTGACTGTGTCCCTTTTTTAATGACTAAATTGCCAATATACTTATGAGAGTACTAATGTTAGTATTGAATTGTTTTTCTTCTGAAATTATTTATCTCTAATTCATTGCGTCTATTTTCTCTTATTTTAATGTGCTTGCAAAATGGGGGTTTATATTTGATGCATTGTGAATTAACTTCACGGGGTACTTGTTGACAACTTATAAATAACTAGTATGGTGTTGCAGCTGGTATTTGCTAGGGTGGGGTGAGGACTTTATTCTGGGAATGGAGGATGCCAAAGAGCAACGAGTGGATGAGTCTGAAAAATCGCCACAGGAGGTTGTGTTCAAACTCTGGTTGTGCAAGATGCATAATGCTTGTCTTTTGTGTGTGTGTGTGTGTGTGTGTGTGTGTGTAGAAAGCTTATTTACTGCTGGGGAAATTCGTATTGAAAATTATTTGTACAGAAATCGTTGTATTGATATAGAGGTTTGACCCAAGTTTATTCTTTTCTTAGGAGGAAGCTATAAAGAAAAAATATGGTGGCATTATTCCCAAAAAACCACCACTAATTTCCAAGGTGATTTTTGAATTGGATATTGCTCTCATTTTATGTCTGTGGTTCCAGCTATGTACTAGATTTTATCTGAGACTTTGAATTTGATCTCAGGACCATGAGCGTGCTTACTTCGATTCCGCTGATTGGGCTCTTGGAAAGGTACTTTTCCCAGCACTGTAGATGAACTTTTTAATTACAACAGTAGGAAATCTCTACTATGTGAATTACTTCATATCATTTGATTCTTTTTGGATGATAACAGCAAGGTGTTGACAAGCCAAAAGGACCACTTGAAGCCCTTCGGCCAAAATTACAGGTATCATTCCCATTTTCAATTGAGGTTGTCTCCACTTTAACTTTCTGATTTGGCTGTCCTCTACACATTTTCAATACTTATTACTTTGTCTTAGATGATAGTTTGCGGGCTTCTTGAACCAAGTTTTGTGGCATGTTGGGAACTCTGTATTTAAAAATATACCTTCTGTTGTGTCAACTAGTTGACTGCTAAGAACTGATTACCTGTGCTAAAAAGTAGATGAAATTACTTGACTTTATTATTGGTGGTTTGGTTGAATATAAGTGTTGTTCCAATGTTTTCATTAGGCCATGACTAGGGGCAACGTAGATTAGATCACGGTTTCGGATGAGATGGCAAACTTTTATTGGGCCTGATGACATTTTATAATGTTTTCCTTAAAATATTATACTAACGTCCACTGAAGTATATTGGTTTAAGTTTAATGCAACAGAAGATGCTCCTCTTTCAGAATTATTGCATATATTATAACACATGCCAAATAGTGGCATTTTAAGCACACTGAAAGAAGCTGCTAGAGTTGGAACACTTACTGTATGGAGAAAGAAAAAAAAAACCAAGTAGATAAACTCTGCAAAAGAATCCTTCTTTCTTTTTTTCAATACATGATTATTTCAATTGATGTCAAACTGATATCCCCCTCCCCTCCCCTTATGCGTTACCAGTTTTACGGAAGAAACGAGATAATTTACACATTGCATTGTTCTCTTTAGTTATTTTAGGGCCTCTTTAATGCTCTTTTTCATGCTTCAGCCCACACAGCAGCAAACACGATACAGAAAGTCTCCTTGTGCTCCGTCAGATGGTGAAGGTATGCTAATCATTAGAACTCTGTAAATCTGTTTCGGCTAGTTACTTAGTCTTTCCATATTGTTTTTCCCAACCAGAAGAACAGTAAAAAAAGAAAGAATAGAAAAGCCATTTACCTTTTTGTTCTAATTTATGTAGATGGAGGAAGTGCTCCTTCTGAGGATTCAGCTGCCAATGAATGAGAGTGCTTTTGGTCTTTTGATCCTCTGAGACCTTTCAACTGTTATTATGGTACCTATATTGGTGATGGATGATATTCTGTTGTTCCTGAAAACAAACTTGGTGAAGATGATCTGAACTTAAGCTATAATGAAAAAAGAGAAATGCAATACACCAACATTACTACAGTTGAAACTAATCCATAACTTCTGGTGTTCCAAGTTTTGTTGTGGGACATTATTGCTTTTGTTATTAATGATGGAAGAGCTATTTGCAAAATTTTAAAAATTTATGAGTTTTCATCTCCGTATTTAGGGCTTAGCTTAAGACTGGATTCTTCTCTCATAAAAAATATCCAGTTAACCTGTATTGTATCCTGATAAATGCATAAATCTTTCAGTTTAAAATTTTAATTTTACATAAAAGTTAAAGAAGTCTTATGTATTGCTGTGGTAGTAGTAATTTGGGGTGGGTGTGTTATCGAATCAGAAAGAGTAATTTTAAGGAAATCACATTATTGTACTACATTGTGTTTCATCTCTTTGATTTAAGTAAGGTCTACGAATACAAAGTATTTTGTAATTGGAAAATCATTTTTGGTTTTTGGAAACCCGAAACCCAATTTAATATTAAAAAAAAAGGGTGTTTAGCAGCCCAAAAATAGGGCTATTTTCAGAAAACGATCGAACATTGTTTTCCAAGTTTTTTCTTCAAGTCATCGCAACATTGCATGGACGATTCAGGAAGGACGATAGTGTTTCTTCCGTCACTTCTTGAGGAGTCGCCCCTAATGGTCTCGCATTAAAATTGGTCATGTGTCATGACGTGATCAACTTGAAAATGGTTTTTTCATAATAAAAAAATAGCTCATTTTAATCATGAAACTCATACTTTTGCTCAACAAGGTTATCTCGTCTCCACTTATTAGGATTACACATTTAGGTTCCATCAAGGAGAGCCAATAGCATTGTAAGGACGTAAGCTTTACTTTGTGTAAAGGGTGGATAGGTTGTGTTTTGATCAAGGCCGGCCCTGGGTGATTGAAGGCCCAGGGCAAAACTCTAAGAGTGTGCCCTTTATTCATAAATTATTATTATTTTAATCAAATAATTAATTGAGTGCTGCTATTTTCATCATCTTGTCCTATTTTCTCACCCACTATATCTTTAAAATTTTAAAGACAAGTTTATCTTTTTGTAAAATAACTTATAAGGACTTATGTAACTCATCTTAAGTGTAAATCCAGCATGGATGTTAACAATTTTAAAAAATTATTTTAGAATATTAAAAAAACATTAAAAACTTCATCACTTCCTTCCCAAGCCGCACCAAACAAGCCACCACCCAAACACCACCAGCCACCTAGCAACCACCGTCTACCACAAGCCCAATAGCACCCACCCGCCCAGCTAGCTCTCAAGACACCTAATCCCCATCAAACCAAATTATCCATAACCCATTCTAAATAATTACCCACCCAATTTGACAAAACTCATTAACTAGTGTATTGCAATTTGCAAGTATGAGAATCGATTGAAATAGCCTTCCTCACCATTTGAGACAAAAA